CCCCCCCCCGCCGCTCTTCCTTACGCCAGGTCCCCCTCCGGTAGACCCCCTCCCCCCTTAGGGTCCTGCCCCCTCAGGTGTGTCTCAGGTAGACGCAGTCGACCCTGTCGAGGTAGCTGTTGACTCTGGTGCTGCTAGGGGTGCTGAGCCTGCGGGTGCTGGGTCTGGGGGTGCTGACTCTGGGGGTGCTGAGCCTGGGGGTGCTAACTCTGGGGGTGCTGAGCCTGGGGGTGCTACGCCTGGGGGTTCTCCGTTTGGGGGTGCTGCGCCGGGGGGTGCTGCGTCTGGGGGTGCGGAGTCTGAGGGTACTGGGCCTGCTCGTGTGGCGTCTGGCGGTACTGGGCCTGGAGGTTCTTCGGGTGCTTCGTCCCGGCGGGAGCTACTCTCTCCACAGGAGCTGCGTGAGTGGTTTGCCCGGCGCTGGAGGCGAGCTGCTGGAGCTGGAGGTGCTGCGGGTGCTGGAGGTTCTGCTGCTGCTGAGGGTGCTGGTGCCGCGGGTCCCGGAGGTGCTCGTACTGGGAGTACTGGAGCTGCTGGGCCTGCGGGTGCTTCTCGTACTGGAGCTGGTGGTGCTGCGGGCGTCGGTGCTACTGAGGGTGCTGGAGATGGACTCGCTGCGTCTTCTGGTGGTCCGGCTGGAGCTGGAGCTGCTGGGGGTGTTGGCGCTGGAGGTGCTGCTGGTGCTGGTGCTTCTGAGGGTGCTGGTGTTGGTGCTGCTGGAGCTGGTGCTGCTGGCGCGGCTGGAGCTGGGGGTGCTACTGCTGCTGGCGCTGCTGGAGCTGGGGGTGCTACTGGAGCTGGTGATGCCGTTCGTAGTGCTGGCGCTGTTCCTGCTGGTTCTGGGGGTGCTGCACGGCCGCGGCCGTACTTCGTTCCGCTCCTTGAGCAGGTTCTTGGTCTTCCGCCCTCTACTAGTCCTGCTTCTCTCTTAGAGTGTCCGCCGCCTGTCCAGTCTGAGTCACAGTTACAGCCAGCCTCCCCACTGCCTGCTCCTTCTCCCTACACTGGTCCTACTGGAGGTCTTGCTGAGCGTCGTGAGCCTGCGTCTCGTCCTGCGTCGCCTGTGCGTGCTGCTCGCACTAGTGGTCGTGCTTCGCGTCCGCGTCCTCCCCCTGTCCCCGGCACGCACCGGATGTCTCTGCGTCCCTCCACTGCTCCGCTGCGTGCCCCTTTGCCTTCTCCTCCTGAGTCCTCTCTTCCTGTTCTTGCTGACCCGGAGTCGGACTCCCTTCGTGCTGCCAGTCCTACTGTCACGCGTCTCCTTGCTACTGTCGTCACTGACCCTTCCTTTGAGTCCGCTGCTGCGTCTGCCTTAGTTTCTGAGCTTGTCGACTTCGCTGCTCACTGTCGCCTAGACTACGCTGCTAGTCTTGTCGCTGAGTCTGGGTCTGTCTGTCCTCCGTCCGTCGGGGGTGAGTGTGCCCTTGGCACGGACGTCCTTGAGGACAGGCAGGAGGAGTTCCAGTGCTTTGCTGCTGCTTCACCTCATCTCGTGTCCATGCTGCTTGCCCCTGAGGGAGACCCGGAAGCACCAGACATCCCGACTCCGCGCTCTTACGCGGAGGCGATAGAGGGTCCCTACTCCTCTCAGTGGCAGGCAGCCATGGATGCAGAGATGGCTTCCTGGAAGTCCACAGGCACCTACGTCGACGAGGTTCCCCCTCCTGGGGCGAACATCGTCAGTGGCATGTGGATTTTCAGGGTGAAGCGGCCGCCGGGTTCTCCGCCTGTCTTCAAGGCGCGCTACGTGGCTCGTGGCTTCAGTCAGCGGCAGGGAGTTGACTACTTTCAGACCTTCTCTCCCACCCCGAAGATGACCACTCTTCGGGTACTGCTGCACATAGCCGCTCACCGTGACTACGAGCTTCACTCTCTTGACTTCAGCACTGCTTTCTTGCAGGGCAGCCTGCACGAGGAGATCTGGCTGCGCCGCCCACCTGGCTTCACTGGGTCTTTTCCTCCTGGTACCCAGTGGAGCCTCCGGCGGCCAGTCTACGGTCTCCGCCAGGCACCTCGTGAGTGGCACGACACACTGAGGACTACACTTGCAGCTCTTGGGTTTGCTCCTTCTACTGCCGACCCGTCGCTGTTTCTGCGCACCGACACTTCTTTGCCGCCGTTCTACATCCTCGTGTACGTCGACGACTTGGTCTTTGCCACAGCTGACACTGCTGGACTCGCCCACGTGAAGTCCGAGCTGCAGAAGAGACACACGTGCACAGACCTGGGTGAACTGCGCAGCTACCTTGGCTTGCAGATCACCCGGGACAGAGCACAGCGCACCATTACCCTGACTCAGTCACACATGGTGCAGCTGGTCCTTCAGCGCTTCGGCTTCACGTACTCCTCGCCTCAGGCCACTCCTCTGTCTACTCGCCACTCGCTCTCAGCTCTGCCTTCGGATGAGTCCGTAGAGTCGAGTGGCCCGTACCCAGAGCTTGTTGGCTGCCTCATGTACCTGATGACCTGCACTCGACCTGACCTTGCATACCCTCTCAGCATTCTGGCACGCTATGTTGCTCCTGGGAGACACAGACCAGAGCACATGGCTGCAGCGAAGAGGGTGTTGCGCTACTTGTGCAGTACGTCGGGCATGGGGCTTGTGCTTGGAGGGCGGAGTCCAGTGGTCCTCACTGGTCACGCAGACGCTTCTTGGGCTGACGACCAGGCTACGCAGCGGTCGTCACAGGGTTACACCTTCAGCCTTGGTTTCGGCTCTGTTTCGTGGCGGTCTACCCGCTCGTCTTCTGTTCTCGGCTCCAGTTGTGAGGCTGAGATCTACGCCGGGGCCATGGCTGCACAGGAGCTACGCTGGCTCACCTACCTGCTGACTGACCTAGGAGAGCCGTCTCGTTCTCCAGTTCTGTACGTAGACAACAAGGCTATGCTGGCCTTGTGTCGGGAGCACAGACTGGAGCACAGAACGAAGCACATCGCTCTTCGCTACTTCCTTGCTCGTGAGCTGCAGCAGCGAGGTCAGCTGCGTCTTGCTTACGTGGCCTCTGAGGCCAACACTGCTGATATCTTCACCAAGGCACTTGCGCCTTGTGACCATCAGCGCTTCTGTACTCTGTTAGGTCTTGTACCTACCTTGCCTCACTTGCTCACTTCTTGACCTTGCTTGTACTGTGATCTTTCTATACCTGCACTTGCTTGTTTACCTTTATATATATGTTCTTGCATGTGAACTGGCCTTGTGGCCTTGAACTTGTGCTCGGAATGTGTGGTGACGTTGTGATCCACCCTGAGCTTGCTTTGCTTTGCTTGACTGGTCTTCTGACCTCTTGTTCTCCCCCACTTTGCCTATGGGGGTGTGTCAAACTTATATGCGATGGTCTATCTAGGCTGTAGTGGGGTAGACACTATAGGGTACAACATTTCTAGGTTTCCTACTTGTACCCACCTTCTTGCCAGTTCATTCATTCCTCATTTCTTCACAGGACCTTGTGGTAACAAGAGCAGTGTCAGCCACTGGTAACCTCTTTTCGCGAGCTGGAGTATTGAGTAGTCAGAAGTATGCGTCCCTTTGCTGAACACATCGCAGAGACAGTGCTGTTTGGGACGGGAATCGCACACCGGTGCTGTTCGCCAGCAAATCGAAATTTTGAATGAAAAAGATGGCATCGGCATCGCGACCGCATCCGGAAACGGAACCTCCTAGGTTTGGGCGTAATGCCACTCGAGAAAGCTCTGCGCCCGGAAAGCGAAATTACGTAACCGCATTGGGAACCTCCATCCCCACCTTCCCCCCTAGGGCTTTGAACGGCAATGCAACGGCTGTGCCATCGCTGTCCTTTGAGGCCCTGTTCGGTAGCCTTCCAGTCACACTGGGCCCACTCGAACTGGGGAAGCCTACGAAATGTTTCGTAGCCTCGGGCGTCCACTCACACTGAAAGGAAGTCTCGTTCCCAAATGCAAGAAGTTACCTTGCGTTTCTTGGGAAATTACTTGCCGAAACTTTTACTGCTGTACGAGGCTGCCCCACCCACAAACAAAAAATCGGTCCGCCAAATGAAAAACGGTCGATATGGATAAAGAAAATCAGGAACGGGCACGATCTCTCATCGTTTGAAAGAGCGTGCTAAAAAACTTTAATTTGAACCGAATCGAAACTAATGCATCGTATACCCTCCTGCCTGCCACTCTGAGCGGGTCTGCCTGGGTTGAACTGGAAAGCTGAAATGGGAGGGACTTCCACTGACTGTCGAGTTTGCCTGGGCGCGACAGTTTCGTGGTAGTGTCCTAGCACGCAGTTGAAGTGGGGTTTTTATGCGTTCGGTAGCCCAGTTGCACTGGACAGGCTCGGTGTTCTAATAACGGTTTTTTGGGCTTTAAGCAATTTGAATTTAGGAAAGAGAAGATCCCACGCACCAACCGCAGTATGACTGGGAGGGCTACCGAACAGGGCCTGAAAAACGCGGCATGGCGATGGCATGGCTTGGGGATGGAATTTTGCCTGGGGACGAAGTTGCGTCCCCGCTTCCATATGCCGTCGAGCAGCTCAAGTTGGTGGACAAATGGGGGCGTTCGCCAGACGCCCACTTTGGTTGCTGGTTTGGACGGTAGAGGAGGCTCGGCACCTTTTTTACGGGCTGACCAGGCTGACGGAGGTAAACGAACCCTAACTGACGGGATCAGGAAGACGAGACCCACCTTCCTGATCCCGTCGTGATCCCGTGGTTTTTGGCTTCACAGGTGCTGGCGAACAGCCCCACCGTCGTATTGTACCGTTTGTGCTGTTTCGCGAAAGTTGTGCCTAGCGCCTCACCTGCTCAACATGCTTTCAGGCAGCGCCAGATCACCTCCACGTCAGACAGCCGCGTTGGATGTACTGGGCAGCCCAGATGCATGCTCACCTCATCAAGTGGGATACGAGCAGCGCATCATCAAGTGTGTTACATTGTGTTGCCCAATCCGCATCGACGACTCGTTCGTTCCGCACTAGCTTCTCCTAGTGCTCTGTCCGCCTTGTCGCCATCGGCCAGTATTGCCGCTTTGCCTCACCGACCCGCGCCCATGATCGCGGCGCCCATGATCGCGGCGTCCTTCTGGGCTCCACCCGTCACGCCGTCGCCCTTCTCCACGAAGTCCGACCACCACCCGCCGCACGCTCCCCGTGCCACGCTCTCCCAGTCTTGCGCCGCTCCTAGTGGCCTCTGCACCGCTGCCCCGCTGAAGCTGCCCGCCAGAACGTCCACGCGCAATGCGCGCGCAAGAGAGGAGAGCGGAGTCGTGGAGCATCCGAGAGATGAGTGCCGGAGGGAGGAGCAGCGCAAGGTGGGGGAGCACGGACGGGGGGATCGCGGGCGAGAGGAGCGCGGGCGAGAGGAGCGCGGGCGAGTGGAGCGTACAGGGAAAAAGCGAGGCGGAAATGGAGTGGCGAGCGGCGATGGGGAGACGAATGCGCGGAGCCGCAGGGAGCAGCGCAGGGCGAGGGAGCGCGCGCTGCTGACGGCGCTGATGGCGGCGAGGTTGGGCGGACAGGCGACGGCGAGGGAGCGCGCTGCCGCTGCTGCGCGGATGGTGACTCCCGCGCTGATGCGCGCCGTGCGGCAGAATCAATTTGCGGGGGGGGCGGCGGCATGGGCAAGCAGCGAGGGGGAGGTGGAAAGGATGGCGGAGGCGGCGGTAGAGGGCATGGGGGGCGCGCACGGCGAGCAACAGGGCGGGGGAGAGGGAGGCGGAGAGGGAGAGGGGGAGGGGGAAGGGGAGGGGGAGGGAGTGAGAGAGGGAGAGTGGGTGGGAGTGGAGGTGAATGTGCGGCACGTGACGGCTGCTGTGCAGGTGTGTGTGTGTGTGTGTGTGTGTGTGTGTGTGTGCACCTCATGAGGCGGCAGACTGGGCGGGCATGAGAGTGGTGGTTCAGGGCTTGAGGTGCTCTTCTCATCCCCCCATTCCTGCATCGCATACCCACCCACATGCCCCACATGCCCCACATGGTTCATGCATGGCACGCCCCCCCACACCCTAACCCCTGTCATGCATGGGTGCAGGTGTGTGTGGGCGCGGGTGACATGGCGCGGGCAGAGCACCTGGTGCGCCTGGCGCAGGCGGCGGGGGGAGCAGCGGCGCCCAACTGCCGGGTGCTCACAGTGATGGCGCGCGGCTACTGCCAGGCGGGGCAGCGCCGACAGGCCTATGCGCTGCTGCAGGTCAGCCAGGCCTATGCGCTGCTGCAGGTCAGCCAGGCCTATGCGCTGCTGCAGGTCAGCCAGGCCTATGCGCTGCTGCAGGTCAGCCAGGCCTATGCGCTGCTGCAGGTCAGCCAGGCCTATGCGCTGCTGCAGGTCAGCCAGGCCTATGCGCTGCTGCAGGTCAGCCAGGCCTATGCGCTGCTGCAGGTCAGCCAGGCCTATGCGCTGCTGCAGGTCAGCCAGGCCTATGCGCTGCTGCAGGTCAGCCAGGCCTATGCGCTGCTGCAGGTCAGCCAGGCCTATGCGCTGCTGCAGGTCAGCCAGGCCTATGCGCTGCTGCAGGTCAGCCAGGCCTATGCGCTGCTGCAGGTCAGCCAGGCCTATGCGCTGCTGCAGGTCAGCCAGGCCTATGCGCTGCTGCAGGTCAGCCAGGCCTATGCGCTGCTGCAGGTCAGCCATGCCCGCCGCTGTGCACGATGCAATGTGCCAGTATGTGTGTTGATAACCCAATGCCCCATGCCCTTCCGTCTCCCATGTCTTCCCCCTGCCCGTGCCTTTTACCCTCCCATACTCTCACGCCCCTCCAATGCCCCCCCTCCCACAGCCCCACAGCCCGCCCTTCCCCCCTCCAATGCCCCCCCTCCTCCCCCGCGCTCCCCCTCACTGCGCTCCTCCCTGGGCAGGAGATGGAGCGGAGGGGGCCGGCACCGGACGCGGCGGTGTACCACGTGGTGATGGAGGGCGAGCGCCATGCGGAGGCCGTCACCGCGCTGCTGGCCGCCATGGCGCGCTGCCACGTGCCGCCCACCGAGAGGACCTTCAGGTGCCCACCGAGAGAACCTTCAGGTGCCCACCGAGAGAACCTTCAGGTGCCCACCGAGAGGACCTTCAGGTGCACCCCCAGTACTTACCCATGCCTTGCCTTGCCAGCATGCTCATGCCACGTGAATGAAGCCCCTCTCACGTCCTTCACTAACGCCCAGCACCCACTCAACGCGCTCGCCTCCCCTCGGTGCCCCGTGCCGGGAAGCATATGCAGCGGTTCAACTCCAATGGCCTCACCTCACTCACCCCTCTTGCCTGCCTGCCCACCCTCACTTCATGCTCAACGAGCCGCGCCTCACGTAATGCACTGCTTCGTCCTGGGTGAAGCGGCTGACCGATTTGCTCATGTCTTGTAAACACCATGCCCCCATCCCCTCCACTCAACCCCCCTCCCGGGCAGTGTGGCGATGGCGTGTATGGGCCGAGCGGGGGACGTGGCGGCAGCAGAGGCACTGTGGCGCCACATGACGGCCGCCCACATCCCCCCCTCGCCCTTCGCCTTCTGTGCCCTCGCCCATGGTGCGTGCTGCATGCATGGTGCGTGCTGCGTGCGTGGTGGATTGAACTGAAAGTTTCTATTTTGGGCGGATTTCTTTTCCGGGCTTCTTGCTGGGCATGTTTGTGTTTGTCTTCACTCCTCATCCACGTGCCCCCACTGCCCTGTCCCAGCATGAATCCACCATACCTCGTTACCACCCACTGTCCACCATGCGTGGCAGTGTATGGGCAGGCTGGCATGGTGGAGAGGTGTGCGGCCATGGTGCAGCAGATGGAGAGAAGCCTGGGGCACAAGGGCAGATGGCAGGCACGCCGCACGGCGAGGAGGGCAGAGAGTGCTGCCCTCAGAGACTCGCCCGATTGGTCCCCCTTAGCTGGCGCCCAGGGGGCAGACAGGGGGGAGGGGGGAATGATGGGCGCAGGGGAGGAGATGGGGGAGGTGGGCGGCATGGCAGGAGGGGCGGAGAGTGGTGGGGATGATGGTGTTGGGAGGGGGAGTGGAGATGAGGGAATAAAGAGGCGAGGGCGAGGGAGAAGGTTGCATGCGGCAGGAGTGGGGGAGGAGAGGGACAGCGGGGGAGGGGGAGGGCAGTACAGCGAGCGGATGGCGACGGCCAGGGGAGGCACACAAGCAACTAACAGGACATTGCTGACGTCAGCACACAACATTCTGATTGGCGCCCATGCTGGACGTGGTGATGCCGAGGCGGCCGTGGCGGTGCTGCGAGGGATGCGACGCAGAGGTGAGTGGGTGCTGCGAGGGATGAGGGGCAGAGGTGGGTGCTGCGAGGGATGAGGGGCAGAGGTGGGTGCTGCGAGGGATGAGGGGCAGAGGTGGGTGCTGCGAGGGATGAGGGGCAGAGGTGGGTGCTGCGAGGGATGAGGGGCAGAGGTGGGTGCTGCGAGGGATGAGGGGCAGAGGTGGGTGCTGCGAGGGATGAGGGGCAGAGGTGGGTGCTGCGAGGGATGAGGGGCAGATGTGGGTGCTGCGAGGGATGAGGGGCAGATGTGGGTGCTGCGAGGGATGAGGGGCAGAGGTGGGTGCTGCAAGGGATGAGGGGCAGATGTGGTTGCGTGCTGCAATGTTGCAAGCTTGCCTTGCTGTGGCCTAAGGAATTGTGTCCCCCCCATGTGTTCCTCCCCCCATGTTCCCCCCCAGGGCTGCACCCGTGCATGCGCAGCTTCAACGCAGCAGCGCACGCGTGCATGCGGGCGAGGCAGGTGGAGCGAGCCGTGCGCCTGCTGGGGGAGGCGCAGCGCCGCGGCCTGCCTCCCACCGCTGCCACCTTCGCCCTCCTCATAGTGAGCCCACCATTCAACGGGCGAAGGCTCGAGACATGTCCGCCTTCAGTAAAGTCCTTCTCTTGCCCGCATAGCCAGTTCTCAAGTCCTTCTCTTGCCCGCATAGCCAGTTCTCAAGTCCTTCTCTTGCCCACATAGCCAGTTCTCAAGTCCTTCTCTTTCCCGCATAGCCAGTTCTCAAGTCCTTCTCTTGCCCGCATAGCCAGTTCTCAAGTCCTTCCCTTGCCCGCATAGCCAGTTCTCAAGTCCTTCCTTCCCTTGTGGCCTTCCCTCCCTGTCCCTGCCATGTGTGCAGCAAGCAGCCGGGCACATGCGGCGGGCGGGCATGGTGGAAGCAGCGCTGCACCGCATGGCGCTCGCCGGCTGCCCACATGATGCCGTGGTCAGCCCCCCGCCCTCCCCCCCCCAGCCACCCCTTCTCACTCGCTTCGCATGCGCTCCTTGCATGCAACATTCCATGCATGCATGCGATTGAGCCAGTGTTCGCTCTTGCGCCGGCACCACCGTGTCAGCGTTGTTGAACCACCTTGTCAGCGTTGTTGAACCACCGTGTCAGCGTTGTTGAACCACCGTGTCAGCGTTGTTGAACCACCGTGTCAGCGTTGTTGAACCACCGTGTCAGCGTTGTTGAACCACCGTGTCAGCGTTGTTGAACCACGTCCACCCGGCAGCCCGGCACCACGCCACGCGCAGCCTCACCTCACATGTCCCCCTCTTCCTTCCTTCTGCTCCCCTCTAACCCAACCCCACGCCATCAGACGTACCGCAGTGCGGTGTACGCGTGGGTGCGGTGTGGCGAGGGCGGGCGGGCGCTGGAGGTGCTGCAGGAGATGGTGGCGGCGGGCCACCCGCCCGCCATGACCGTGCCGGACGTGCTCATCAAGGTGTGCCCGCCGTGATAACATTTCATGCTTGAGGAAGAGCGGCTCATTGTATGGGTACAATACAACCCAAGTTGAGGACGAACGATTGTTTTTTACCCATCACTTTTGCCCACATGGAGCTAGAAGCCTGGGGTGAGGGAAAAAGACAACCCTTCAATCCATCAGCCTGGCATGGCACCAAACCGCAGATTGAACCAAATCAGTTCGATCGACTCGAACTTAACCGTGGTTCGATCATTCGCTCCTCCCTATCCTACACATTCTGCAATGGAATAAAGAATCAGCCAACAGTCTTACTCTTTCTCGTTACATGTTTTGCTTCTGTTGTCCGATTGTATCTTAATTTCACTGAGAGCAGCCACTCGTTTCTCGATGACTTACCCTCATGAGTGCCAACCTGCCCCCTGCGGCCCCGTGTCCCTCCAGAGTGTGGACGGCGCGTTGCTGCTCGAGTGCACGCGGGCAGCACCTGACGGCAACTTGAAGAATTTCCTGCGAGAGATGAGAAGCGCCGGTGAGAGGGGCTTGTAAGATGTGGGCTTGAGGAGAAGGTAAAGCATTGGTTCCTCCATGAGAACAACAATGTTTGTAAAGGGCGACAGTTCCCGCAGAGGTTTTAAAAGTGCAGGAAACCCTCAACCCTAGGTTTTAAACTAGTCATGAGCAAACCCCAAACACGAACGTGTTCGGGTCGAACATGTCTCAAACATGTTTTCAGGGTTCAGGTGAGGGTGAGGGTTTACGGCTTAGGGTTTTGGGTTCAATGTTTAATGTGGGTGAAACTGATCATGTCATCCCGCGTAGCCCTGGTTGTGTGGGTGTCGAGTGGAACGCCTTGGTGTTGGACTAGCATGTTGCCCAACAGTCGAGCACCTCGCTGTTTGATGCGGCTAGGCTGTTTTGGTCAAACGAACCGAACAGGTTGGGACAAATATCACCCTCCCCACTCTCCCCTCCTCCCCCCCCCTCTGTTCAGTTCGATTCAAGTCTAGTTTGAAAGGGGTCAACTTGAGGATGCAGTGTGCCCCAACGCCCTCGTGCTTGCTGGCTTCAAACGTGCCCATCATGCCCTAGTTTTGTTTGAGGCTTGTAGCCAAACTGTTGCTGCTCTCCACATTCGCATTCCAACTTTTCTCTCCCCTCTTTGCTTCCATGCCTCCTAAGCCACCATTTCAGCAGGCTTCTAAGCATACCGTGTCGTCGCCTCGCAACGAGCCAGCACTGTGTGGTGTGGAATGCTCATCATCGTGCCTTCTTTCTTTCCATCGCGCCACCCTTCTGATGCACATGCTTCTAGTTCATCCCATATCCTCCCTTTTTAACCCATCGCCACCACTCTCATCGTGTGTCTATGTGCACCCCACAGGGCTCACCCCCACCGCGTCCACATCAGCACACCTCGTGCAGCTCCTCGCCTCCTCGCACTCACCCGCCCAAGCGCTCGGTAAAACGCCCTCCCTTACCGCACCCACTCCCGCTGCCACCTCCTCACCCGCACCACCCCATGCTCACCCGCACCACCCCATGCTCACCCGCACCACCCCATGCTCGCCTGCACCACCCCATGCTCGCCCGCACCACCCCATGCTCGCCCGCACCACCCCATGTGCGCGCCCAACAACAACCCATGCGCGCCCCTCCCTGTCGGCCCGTGCATGCATGTCCAACAGATGCCGCCCACGAGCTGGCAGCAGCTGGGGTGGGCCAGCTGGGAGACGCCACGTGGCATGCAATAGGGCAGGCTGTGTGGCACATGTCTCACCGCAAACCCCACGAGGTGAGGCCTCACCAACCCCCAAGGCATCCCGTACACAGCCATGCCATACACACAGCCATGCCGTACACACAGCCATGCCGTACACACAGCCATGCCGCACACACAGCCATGCCGCACACACAGCCATGCCGCACACACAGCCATGCCGCACACACAGCCATGCCGCCACACAGCCATGCCGCACACACAGCCATGCCGCACACACAGCCATGCCGCACACACAGCCATGCCGCACACACAGCCATGCCGCACGCACAGCCATGCCGCACGCACAGCCATGCGGCACACACAGCCATGCCGTACACACAACCATGCCGCACGTACAGCCATGCTGCACACACAGCCATGCTGCACACACAGCCATGCCGCCACACAGCCATGCCGCACGCACACACAGCCATGCCGCACACACAGCCATGCCGCACACACAGCCATGCTGCACACACAGCCATGCCGCACACACAACCATGCCGCACACACAGCCATGCTGCACACACAGCCATGCCGTACACACAGCCATGCCGCGCACACAGCCATGCCGCACGCACACACAGCCATGCCGCACACACAGCCATGCCGCACACACAGCCATGCCGCACGCACAGCCATGCCGCACACACAGCCATGCCGCACGCACAGCCATGCCGCACACACAGCCATGCCGCACACACAGCCATGCCGTACGCACAGCCATGCCGCACGCACAGCCATTGCAGCACACACAGCCATTGCAGCACACACAGCCATTGCAGCACACACAGCCATTGCAGCACACACAGCCATTGCAGCGTGTATTCTCTTCACATCCCCCTGTGGCTCACCTGTGCGCCCCCTTGCCCGTCCCTCCACATGCGTGCAGGCCGCCCTCGCAGCCCAGCGCCTGCTGCCCGCCGTGGAGGCTGACGGCTGCCCTGTGACCAGGTGAGGCGGGAGGTGAGGCATAGTACCACCGTATTTGTTTACACAAGAATCTCTTACAAATCACTACTGACAAGCACAGGTGTTGAAACCTAAGAGTTGCTGCCACGTGAAGATCCATGGCACAGGTGTTAGATCCATGGCACCTAACTGGTTTCACTGGAGTGCTGTGGTGGTGGTCACCGCTCCCCCCCCCTGTGTGCTGTGGTGGCGGTCACCGCTCCCCCCCCCTGTGTGCTGTGGTGGCGGTCACCGCTCCCCCCCCCTGTGTGGTGGCAGGGAGCTGTACGAGGTGGCCATTGCAGTGCACGTGCGCAGCGGCCACGGCACCACCGCCCTGCACCTGCACCGCCTCATGGACGCCGCCCATCCCGCCGCCCCTGCCGCCCATCCTGCCGCCCCTGCCGCCCACCCCGCCGCCCATGCCACCCAGCCTGCCGCCCACGCAACCCAGCCTGCCCGTGAGGATGGTACCCGGCCTGCCCCGCAGGGTGGCCTCCAGGAGGCCTCGCGTGGTGCTGCCCGCGCAGCACAGGGGGACGCCACGCCCCCGGCAGCACAGGGGGAAGCCACGCCCCCAACACAGAGGGGTTGGGAAGAGACAGGGGAGGCGTTGGAAGAAGCATTACTATTGGAGGGGGTTGGGGATGGGCAAGGACGTGGGGAGGCGTGGAGTGGAGTGGCAGGGCGAGTAGCGGATGGGCACAGCATTGACGGCAGCACGGCTCCTATGCACTGTGTCGAGCCCAGCCCGCGCAGCAGCAGCGACAATGACAGCATATACACGAGTGAGGGGGACATGAGCAGCAGGGAGGGCGGCATGAGCAGCAGCGAGGAAGCTTCCTCCGAGCTCACGTTTCTGGAAGCCATTGATGCCGCGCTCACGCACGCCCTGGCTGAGGTGTGCCCTCACCCACGCACGCCCTGGCTGAGGTGTGCCCTCACAGAGGATGAGTTTGTGAGCTGTCCTGCCATGGATTCCGTGCCCCTGTCTCGTCCACTCCACCTGTCAGTGTGCCGTTGCAGCACCTGTGTGCCGTTGCAGCACCTGTGTGCCGTTGCAGCACCTGTGTGCCGTTGCAGCACCTGTGTGCCGTTGCAGCACCTGTGTGCCGTTGCAGCACCTGTGTGCCGTTGCAGCACCTGTGTGCCGTTGCAGCACCTGTGTGCCGTTGCAGCACCTGTGTGCCGTTGCAGCACCTGTGTGCCGTTGCAGCACCTGTGTGCCGTTGCAGCACCTGTGTGCCGTTGCAGCACCTGTGTGCCGTTGCAGCACCTGTGTGCCGTTGCAGCACCTGTGTGCCGTTGCAGCACCTGTGTGCCGTTGCAGCACCTGTGTGCCGTTGCAGCACCTGTGTGCCGTTGCAGCACCTGTGTGCCGTTGCAGCACCTGTGTGCCGTTGCAGCACCTGTGTGCCGTTGCAGCACCTGTGTGCCGTTGCAGCACCTGTGTGCCGTTGCAGCACCTGTGTGCCGTTGCAGCACCTGTGTGCCGTTGCAGCACCTGTGTGCACTGTGTGTATGCAGTGATGCTGCGTGCACGGCCAAGTGTGTGTTGCCTCGCTGCCCCTCCCACAGGACATTGCACGCGCCTCCTCTGCTGCGCCGCCACACGCCGCCTGCACCAGCACTGGCAGCAGCATGGACGGAGGCGTGGGGAGGGGCGTGGCACATGGAGGGCACGGCAGTGGCCGCTGCGACAGAGTGGAGAGGGAGAGAGGAGCAGGGGAGGGGAGTGAATGCAGGGAGGTGGGGCGCATGGACGGCCAGGCGGGTGGCAGTAGTCGATGGGAGGAGGGAGTGGCAGAGAGGGTGGCGAACCAGGCTGATGCGGGTGGCGTTTCGGGATTGGTTGCTGACCTGGCAGCCTCTGGCATTCGGGTGAAACCACGGTGAGAGGGCATGGTGGAGGAGCAGGGTGAGTGAGGGGCAAGGGGAGGTAGGAATGACGTGGCTGGGTTGGCAAGCGGCAGTACGTTGTATACCATACAGGCGCTCATGCACTTGCCTGTGGCCCTGCCATATGCAAATCATCTTCTCCTCTGTGTCTCCCCATTCGCTACGGGGCGTTGGAGCCTGCCTCTCTCCCCTCCCGCTCACCATCCTGCTCGCCCCCCTGGCCCCCCTGGCCCCCCTGGCCCCCCTGGCCCCCCTGGCCCCCCTGGCCCCCTTGGCCCCCCTGGCCCCCCTGGCCCCCCTGGCCCCTGCAGCGCCGTGCAGAGTGCCATCCGCCAGCTGCTGCTGCACGACGACTGCCACGCCGCCCTCACCGCCGCTGCTGCACCTCCCGCCCGCCCCACCCACCCCGCTTCACCCACTGCCACGGCCATCGCCATCCGCCGGCCCGCAGCAAGCAGCGAGGCAGCAGGGCGAGTGGGCGAGGTGGAGCGGGCAGAGGCGAGTGAGGAGGAGGTAGGCAGCGGTGGCGGGGGCAGCGATGCAGAGGCGGTGCCGTGGCTGGAGCGCGCCATCAGCCTCGTGGATGCTCTGCCGCGCCTGGTGGGTCATGCCATGCCTGTGATGCCATGCCTGTGATGCCATGCCTGTGATGCCATGCCTGTGACTGGGCATGAACGGAAGCGAGTTTGATTCGAATAGGTCCACCTGGATCTTGCCTTTTTCTCGTTTGCTTGTTCAGCCCTTCTCACAAACACAAGTGCGTTCACTCGTACTCTACCCCAAGAAACGGTTTTGTAGAGTTGCAATCTAACGCAACATGCTTCCTCTTGGACACGAGCAATGTATGGAGGGGGGGGGCTTTCTGTTGCCCATCTAGTTCCAGTCAAGCTGCTTCAGCAACTCCACCATTCCATGGTTGCACAAAAGTGCCCCCTTTTTGGGCAACAAGAAGGAAGCTGGAGCTCGTTTCCAGTCATAACCGTCCGTGTGTGCATGTGTGTGTGTGTGTATGTGTATGTGTGTGTGTGCTTGTGCGTGTGTGTGTGCATGGGTGTGTGTGTGTGCATGTGTGTGTGTGTGCACGTGTGTGTGTGTGTGCATGTGTGTGTGCGTGTGCATGTGTGTGTGCAAGTGTGTGTGGATGTGTGTGTGTGTGTGTGTGTGTGTGTGTGTGCAAGTGTGCGTGGATGTGTGTGTGTGTGTGCATGGGGCACGGCAGTTCGCCCAGCAGCCAACGGCCTATGTGTATGCGGAGCTGCTGCGAGCGTGTGTGCGCAAGCGGCAGTGGAGGCGGGGGGAGCAGCTGTGGCAGCAGATGGGGGCAGCGGGCGTGCAGGCGGATGTGCCGTGCTGGCTGGCCCGCCTGCGCTGCCTGGGGGCTCTCAGCCGCATCGCAGGCGCATCGCACGCGCTGGTGGCGGAGGCGGCAGCAGCGGGCACGGCCATGGAGAGACACCCCGACCTGCTGCGGTGCGCTGCTCCCGCCACCTCTGCACCATGCAGCCTTGCTGCTCCCCCCGTCACCATGGCCTCTTGCCCATGTCTCACTTCATTTACCCATCCTTGCCCTTTGCCGGTTGTTGCTTCCCCTTTTACCTTGCCCTTTGCCCCCTGCTCTTTGACCTTCTCTGTGCCCCTTGCACATTGCCGCTTGCCCCTTGTGCTTTGTCCTTGCCCCTCCTCCTTTGCTTTTGCACCTTGCCCCCCTTTCTCCTTTGCCTTTGCTCCTTGCCCCTTTTTCTCCTTCACTTTTGCACCTTGCCCCCTTTTTTTCCTTCGCCTTAGCTCCGTGCGCCTCTTTCTTATTCGCCTTTGCTCTTTGCTCCTCTTTCTCCTTCGCTTTTGCACCTTGCTCCCCTTTTCTCCTTCGCTTTTGCACCTTGCCCCTGGCCTTTTGTCTTTCACCTGTGCCCCTTACTCCTTGGCGTTTTCTCCTTCAGCCACGTGCCCTTTTCCATTTGCCATACACCAAGTGCCCCCCCCCCCCCCCCTCTCCCTCTCGCTCCAGCAGTGCACTGCTGAGGGAGTGCCAGCGGGCCAATGACAGTGACGGGGCAGCCTTTGTGCGCAACATGCTCGCCATGTCCCAGCGACACTCCTAACTTTTCCCCTTACCATGGGACATTCAAGTACCAGCTGATCTGTGCCTTAGCCCATGCTATCCGTACACACTGAATGTACTGTTGTAACAAGTGCAATGAATCGAGTAAGTGAGGATTACATTAAGTTGGCAAACGAGTACAAGTATGAGCAACGGCATGAGGAGTGCTTGGCGTATGGCCCGGATATGAGCGCATGCCTATGTTGAGCACATGCGCTTCTATCTGGAGCCCGTCTCGGATGTACCGTCACCCCCCGGATAAGCCCCCATGGGGGGGTATAATAAAACAGGTTTTTTAGGGGGGTGGGCTTATAATTGAGTCAAAATTATAAGCGCATACGTTTATAAAATGACATATATATATAATATTTTCTGACACCAAACAGTAGATCTCGTGCTTGCCTTTTCAATCGAGTCGAAGTTACATGGGGGTCTTCAATGATTTTTTCGCCCGCGCTGGGAGATACACTCGATGTAACTCACAAAGTGCCCCTGACAGCTCCTGCTCACTGGACTCGAATCCAGTGCAGGGTTCGAATGTGAAGCGAACCGAATTTGCAACACATCCGCCTGCTAAAGTAAAAATCGTTACAGTGTTTTTGTTGGGAACAAACAATCTTAAGCGCCTCTGTCGTGTCGAAACACCAAGGCACAAGCGAAGCAGAGCATATCGAGGCACCAGCGAGTCAACCCTCGGAGGTTGAAGTAACCGCTGGAGGTTACGCGAAAGTCAAAGGTCAGTGACCTTTGACTTGACAAATGCAGCGCGACAGCAAGGACACACAACTGACTCGACATTGAGCAATTGCCCGAGTCGCACTGTATCGAACCGCAACAGTAAAACAGTTTAATTATATCTCTTCGTATTCTTTGTACTCTTATATAAACTTTTGTACTTGCTTGTTTTAATCAACTTACTTTGCCCTCACATACCAGCGCAAGGTGGTTCAAGGACTTCATTTAAACGCTTCCGCTACTACATCACTCTACCCAGAGTTTAACCCTACCAAAGATCCTAAGGGGCACTCAGCCCAACATGATATGAGAGCTGGTTAGGGTTAAAATTATTTCTCCTTAACACCTAATACACCAAGAGAGATGTCTACCAGAAAGGAGAGGAGCTCCTCCAACGGCTCTCCTGGTACTACTCCTACTCCACCTCCTGCCTCTGGCCTACAGACAGAGGAAGGCACAACAACGAGACCGGCAGCTGGGTCTACTGAAACACCCGCAAACCAAGGCGCGGGCTTCGATCCAAGCATGATGGAGAAGTTCTTCTCCTTCATGTCCTTCTACGAGCAGCATCAGCAAGGAGCACCTGCGCAATCAAACAACAGCAACAACAACAACAACGTGACGCCCATGAGTCTCGATGGCTCATCCTACGCACGCGGGAATCAACAACAGCAACCTACCTTCGCTCCGTACGAGCCCCAGCGCGGCTCCGTCAGCTTCATGCCACAACCACAACCTGCACCGGGACAAGAGAGAACGCTGGACGCACTACAAGTTCAGTCGCAGTTCGCGCACGTTCTAAAACTGCAAACGACAAAACCCTTCGACGGGAAGGATTTCTTTACCTGGTCGTTCGAATTCGAGCTGATGATGGAAGGAGCGCAAATCCTTGGCTTCTTCGACGGGTCCCTGCCATACCCAACAAACGGCACACAGTATGAGAAGCAGCAGTACACCTATCAATCGATGATGGCGTACACGATACTACTGAGGAACATCACTCCAACTCAACAACAAAACATACGGTCTTACCGAGGCTACGGCAACTCCGCGGAGCTCGCGTACAATCACTTGAAGAGCCTGTATCAAGCAACAGACAGCGTAAACCAAAGTCGGTTAATGGCGCAGCTGACAACAATCGAAATGAAACCAGGCGAGAAGGGAATGGCGTATATCAGTCGCTGCCGCGAGCTGCGCGACAAGCTTCTTCGATGTGGAGGATCGATTTCAGAGGACGCCTTCGTCACGGTTGTCATCGGCGGTCTTGGTCCTCACTGGCGCTCCACTCGCGCCATACTACGAGCCCACGGGAAAATTTCTGAAGCAGCACTTTGCGCCGAAATCCACGCCGAGCAGCAAGACATGGACCTGCAAGAAGAACGACACAAGAGAAAGGTATCAGTGCCCGAATTCGCGTTTCACACTCAACGGCGCCACAACAACAACAACAATCGACCGAAAATCGTACCTCCGTTCTGCCACCTCTGCAAGACTTCAGGGCATCCTCGTACGCACTGCCCGAATCGACAACAGTCAACGTCGCCGCAACGCCAACTTCGCCCTTCAAGCAGTCAAGTCGCCTCAACGCAAGCAAATTCGACAACTTCAGTACAAGTCTCAACAACATCGACGGGACAACCTGCGAAAGGAACAAGAAACATCGTCAGCTGCATGGCAAGGCTGAGTGACTCCTGCGTAACTGAGTCACCACCATATTACTCACCAGAAGAACAACTCGACAACAGCACGCCTCGCCGCGAGTCACTTCAACCGAACCCGACGTACGCCGCCATCGCTCAAAGCGAGCCGTCCGGGAAGGATACATGGTTCTTGGACAGTTGCTGCGGACAACATATGTGCTCTTCAGGACGTTTCGTTCAACGCGAGCACCAACTTCAACGAGAAGTCGTCATCACTGTCGCCAATAATCAGAACCTGCGCACACGACGACAAGGAGTAGTGCAACTTCAGTCACGAGAGACGAATGTCATACTGCAAATGTCCAAAGTCCTAATAGCAGAAGGACTTGGCTACAACTTACTGAGCGTCAGTCAGTTGATGGCGAAAGGCATACATCTGGAAGCCGACAGTACCACCCAGGAGTTCAAGCTGTACCACGGGAAGGGCGGCCTCTACATCGGAAAGGCGGTCCTGAAGAACAATGTCTTCGTTCTCGATTTCGTCCCAGACCTGGGCACCGCAGACAGTGACGGGATCGTCATCTTCACATCTTGGATGCACCCGCCGGATCTCGACCCCGACTTCAGTCCGGAAGGCTTTTGGTATTCACATACCATTCCTGAAGCAGAACGAACACGTGCGTTAGTAACAATACAACATTCGGCAGCAGCAGAGACAACATCGGCAGCAACAGAGACAACATCGGCAGCAGCAGAGACAACATCGGCAGCAGCAGAGACAACATCGGCAGCAGCAGAGACAACATCGGCAGCAGCAGAGACAACATCGGCAGCAGCAGAGACATCATCGGCAGCAGCAGAGACATCATCGGCAGTAGCAGGAACAACAACAGTAGCAGCAACAACGACACCACTCCTCGTTGACGAAGCACCACCAACACCCGCACAGCAGCTGAATCCGGCTCAACGGGAAGTCCATAGAAGCGCAAACTTCACCGCCAGCTTCTACTCCAACTCCGACGCGTATCGACGCTCACCCGGACACCGCGCCTCCGAAGACATCTGGCACGCACGCATGGGACACCCAAGCAACACTGTGTTAAACAACACAATAAGAGCAGGAGTCCTTGACAAGGACTCGTTACTACTACTCGACGGCAGAGAACTTCAACGGGCACGAGGAACATGTCTTACCTGCCCCGAAGCCGACTTACCTCATCGGCCGTTCACTCCTCATCACAACCCGAGCACACCCGCGTACGCACCACTCGAAAAGGTGTATAGCGACATCCTGTACAATCGGGAACCAGGACAAGTAATATACAACTACACAATCACCTTCATCGACGCCGCCACCCGTTACGTCTGGCATCTAAACCTACCCAGCCGCGACATGGTCCTCGAAGCATTCGCTGCTTGGCTACCAGTAGCAGAAAGAGAGTCGGGCGTAAAGCTGAAAAGCTTCCAGTCTGACGGAGGAGGAGAATACACCTCTCAGCGATTCAAGCAGTACCTGGCGGAAAGAGGAATCAAGCAGCTCCTCTCTCTTCCCTACGCCCATCAGCAGCAAGGTGTAGCAGAAAGAATGAACAGGACTCTGCAGAACAGCATGCGCAAACTGTTGCGTGGCATGCGGCTACCCAACCACCAGTGGCCTGACGCGATGGACCACGCTGTCATGCTGCACAACTTGCTCTCATCTTCATCACTACCGAACAACGCATCACCGCATCTGCTGTGGACAGGAAAACAGGGCAGCACAAAAATGTTACGAGTGTTCGGATGCATGGTACAGTACCGACCCCCAGCAGCACGAGCGGGCCGATTTTCACAACGCGCACAGTGGGGACTACACCTCGGCATCGAAAAGAACTACAACGCGTGGAAAATCTTTGACGTCCACTCCAAGGAAACAGTAGCAGCACGCGACGTCATTTTCTACGAACGACTCACGCTCCAGACATACCTTGCCAACCTGCAAGAGGACCAAGATCCCACAGGTGGTTTTCGTGGTGACCGAGCCTTCGCCTCGGCAGCAGACGAAGCTGACTGGGACGAGCAGAATGTGGCCAACGCATCAGAAGAAGCTGGACCCCTTCCGTTCTGCTCCGTCGACGTCCCCATGGACGAAGATAACCCTCGCGAAAGTGTCAACGCCGAAACCTTCTACTACTTCGCGGACAACGGTTACGTAACACCTGCGACAGTCAACACCAACGAAGCAGAACGAGTAGGACCGAATTTCATACCTGATCCAGAAGCGGGAGATGAAGCAGCTTATCCTGAGGATGCAACTCTTCCCCGCTACTCACAGACTGGACTGCAGATTCTCGGACTCGTCACCGCAGTCCACGGCAACACTCTTCCTAAGGAGCCTGCGACGGTTCAGCAGGCTTTGGGGGGGGAACACAGGGAAAAATGGCGTGAAGCCATGGACAGAGAGTTAAAGGCGCTGGAGGAACGGAACACCTGGAAAGTTGTCCCCATCAGCGTGGCAAGGAACAAGACCATTCTCACCGGGAAATGGGTCTTCCACGTTAAAACAAAAGCAGACGGCACAATTGAGAA